ATAACGTTATTTGTAGATTGCCTGGAAGGGACATGATTGGAATCGCATTGTGTTTGCATCGGAAGATGAAATGAAATTACTATATTAGAGGCGAAACTACAGACAGGAGTGATAATATGTTACTCTGTAAAATTTTTATGCATAGCAAGACAAACATTTTGAAGGGTTATCTGAATTTTTAACAAATAATGACTTTTCCAAGTTATAAAAGGGTGTTTAATTGCTTCTCAAAAAGTTTAAATTATCTTTTTTAAAAAACGAACTAATATAATTACAAAAAAAATTTTTTTAATGAAATAACAGTACATAGAATCAGTCGTTGTTCTGGTAAAATACAACTTTCTTATAAGTAAAAATTGTTCTGAACAAATTTTAAGCATTTGCTAAACAACGAGTTTCGCCAGTACTTGAAGCTTTAGAAGACCCAACAAAAAAATCCAAAGATATAACTGAAGGTTGTAGTTTAGTAGTGACCTTAAAAATCGTATTACTGATTGTCCAAAATTAGATATCAAAGAAAACAATAAATTGAAAATATTATTATTTATATTTTAGAAATTAGAGCTAATCTAATAAAATTTAATAGTAACTTATAATTAAAAATATTATTGTTATTGTTAATGATGATAAGCAATTAAGATATTTGTATAAAATTTTTTATTAACTATGTAGATATATATGTATATTAGTTTTTCTTATTGCTTCTTTCATTATTATTATTACTACCAACATTTCCTCCAGACATGAAATTTGCTATTGCAGCAGAAAAATCTGGCATTTCGGCAAGTGGATTTTGAGCTGGAGTTTCCTGCATTTCTTTCAACGCGTCTTGATCTAAATTGAATATAATCAATTATTTAATATAAGCACTTGATAAAAATATAAAAGTAATTATTGATTAATTACATACCCATATTTGCCATCATTTTTGGCATTATAAACAACATCAATACACTAAATCCTAACATTATTATATATGGATTTGCAAAAACACTAATAATACTAAATCCTTCATTAAGAACATAAT